GGAATGACTGAAACAGTGAATGAAACTGAGTGAATCAGAGAAAAAAGATATAACCTCAGGATGAAGATTTAACAATATGCTGTAAATATAGTTAACACAAAACCAGAAATATGATACAAACATGATGCAAATCTTACCCACCCAGAAATGAGCTGACTGCTGGAATGAATTTATTAGTCAATGTAAATTCTCCTCTCTACCCTAGTACCAGTATGGGCTGTACTCTTAATGTGCTCACATTACTGCACACATGTACTGCACGTGTACCTCTCCTCCACTTACAGTACAGTAAGTAGTGCTTGCTAAGCGAATGGTGGCCACCACGTTGCTATGGCAACCCCCAGCAGCTGTCATTGTCCCTCCTGTAGGAATGACAAATTATTTTTATTAGAGAGTGGCTCCAAACTGCTGGGATCTCCCTGCGTAGAGCTGCTTCTCCCAGTCTGAGCAAACTGGAGTCACTCTGCCAATAACTCTCATCAAGGCTCATTACAGCACAGGCCCTCCTGGGCTCATCATACACTCATTATGACTCGCAGGCTGCACCGCCAATTCAGGCGCCAGACAGTGTGTGACATTCTCATAGTGGGAAGCAGCGTGGCGACACAGATGGCAGTCTGAGGGTTGTACTATGAGATGGTAACACTTGACAGACATTGTACTGATTTGTATTGGGTTTTTTAATTGATTTACAGTGACATACACATATATTGTCATTTGATTTTTCAGGAACTTGTATGAGCTTATATTTGGGTACAGTACTGTCCAGGTGTTGACATTAGGTCAATATTTTCAAAAGGTCATAAACAGGTCAGATTATTGTCCTGGGTCCTCACTCCTGATTTGCCAGTTTGTTTGCTTTTCAGATGTAGTCCAACATCCTTAATCCACATCGTAAATCTCAGATGTCCACACTAGAAAAGAAAACCCACTAAAGAAAAATCAATAGGTTGCTAGTTTGAATCTGCAGTCTCAGTTATTTTTTTTTTATTTTCTTGTTTTTATTGGGGTCAAATAGGATGGCTCCAAGTGGCCAAGGTTACCATGACACCGTGGACTGCAGCTGTCTTCAGGGACCACTACACTCACTAATACAATGCGAGACAGTTGTACTGTGTGTGGAGTTGATGAGGAAGCAGTTTTTATCGGCGTTGTTTTCGCTGACTCCGTGGGTTTTATTGTACGTGGCAACCAGACGATTGGAATCCAACGACGAGACGAATTCAGAGACAGAGACGAAGGCAGAGTGTGTTCTGTGTCAGAGGAAATGTGAATGTAAGAGTGTGTTATACGGTACTGTACTTGAAGTACATGAAGTGGATAAATGCAGTATGCAGAAACAAAAAATCCTCCACTGTTGTTGTATTTGATCTCATCTTAAAGGCGAGACAGACGAGCAGAAAGCAGACGCTCTGATTCCTCTACAGATCTGTCCGATACGCCGGGCTGACTTTTTTTTTTTTTTTTGATAATTGCTCTGCATGAGCTGAATTAGCATATGAAAGTTGTCTTTTTCCCTGCAGTGGGAGAACACCACTGTAAGCTAATTTGTAAGTCATTTCAGATGACAGAGAGTGGTTGTATCCCAGAAGTGCTCTTTCCTTCTTGATCTCTTCTCTTCTGTCTCTCTCTCTCTCCACGCTCCCTCCCCCTTCACTCCCCTCCTCCCCTTCTATTTCAATTCTCCCCTGCTTCAAGTCTCAATTATGAAAAAGAACAGGATGATTCAGAAAGCTGGGGTAGAAAGGCACAATAAAGTATGGCTGGGAACACTGAGCTCTGTCAACATTTGAGTCCCAGCTTATTAGCAGTCGTGGTGATGACGAACGCTGATGCAGAAGTCACAGGTGGAGCATTTATCAGTGGCACTGCTACGTAAAACGGACTCCTTTTTTTCCCTCGTGTCTATTACGGCTCCCATTAGGTTTCACTGGAAGAATTGTAACTGCTTCCATTTTAAATGGACAAAGAGTCCACTAGCAGACTCAGCGTGTCTTATATGGGAATTGATTGAATCTGTGAGCGTGGATTCACAGAAAGGGACTTGTGTTTGTGGCACCACTGATGCCAAAGCAGCTGGGTGGGTCCGGAAAGAGAGCGGAGATGACTGTTAGGAAATATGCACTAATACACACAGGTGTGGACAAAAAAAACACACACTCGAATGCCTTGTGTGCTCTCTCTACCTCTCCCTCCCTCACACACACACACACACACACATATATGCACACACTCAGCAAGAACACTGGAGGCTGTTTCTTAGACATGTTAGTATGCAGTAGGCGGAGCAGAGGAGCAGAGAGAAACGTAGTGGAGGCGCTCCGATCGTTTTTATTGACCGTTTCTCTGCACGGCTCCGTGCTGCATCAACAAATGGATCGTCACTGAGTAACATACACATACAGTATACATTTAAATACATCCAGTGTATTAGCACAAATACATGCGCACTTGCTCTTTGCACGTGCACCAATTTTGTCACAGTCCAGTGGAATGGGAGGAAACTGCAGCGGTGGTGCGAGCACAGACAGAGCTGTGATTTCACTGAGAGAGAGAGGGAGAGAGAGAGAGAGGTAAACCGTCACTGTGTTACTGCACAGTCAGATAAACAGTTTGGTTATTAGATTGTACTTCAAATGAACGCTCTTAGCTCAAGACTATCAGAGAGATGTGTTAAAATACACCTTCAGAACATTCATGTCTCATGTTGAAAAATCTCATGTTGAAGCATGTTGTAACTCTCTCTCTCTCTCTCGCTGCAAAACTGTATTTTCTTTAATCAGTTTCTATTAAAAATGCTATAGATGAGCGATCTTATAACTACAGGAAAATATTCAAACATTGTCAGTCATATGTTTACAGAGGTGAAAAAAGGCTTAATAATTTTACAGTATACAGGATGTAACAACACGTTGATGATGTCATGTGTTATGGCTGATTATTCCAGGTTTTACCGTACATGTCCTAGCATAAAACAGAAAGCTGACATCTAATACAGGTATGTCCAAAGTCTGGCCTGGGGGCCAATGGGGACCCCTGGTCAATTTTAAATGGCCCACAGCAATTTCAGCTTTTCTAGATCTTTCTGGTACAGGCCTTAATACCATTAGAGAGGGAATAAAATACAATGTTGTTCTTTATCATAGGACATGAGGTGTGAAAGTAATACAATCAGCTAATCTTTGTCTGTAGTGAGTCAAAGACTAAACCTACATTCAAACTTGTTTTCATTTCCCCACACATCAAAGGGGAGGGTTAAAAATTAATAACCCAGACCCATTGGATTCAGGGGAAGACAAGAGACAACCACACACCCCCGCATGTGAACACGTGTGTTTTACCACACTTTTAAGCACACGCGCCCCCTTTTCTCAGCCTCAGGCTTTTGTTGCAGTGACAGGCAATCTGCTGTAATGAAAGCTTTGCTCATTCATAAGCCTGCCTTGTCAGTGTTTGATGCCAGGCAACTTTCAGACGCAGAGAGGAGAAATGAGACACAACGAGGTGGAGGAAAAAAAGACGGAAGATTTCCATGACAGTATGAGGCTGAGTGTAGATCAGCTAATAAGTGAAAATAACAATTAAAGACACATGCACACAGGGTGAGTGTGTTCCACCTCTCTGGGTTTTTGTCTGCATCTCAACCACAAGCTGAAGAAAAAAAAAACCCTTCAGGATATCAAATCCACGGTCTCTCGTTTCTAACTAGGTCAACACTTGCTCACAACAGCTTCCTCGACACGCTCCTTTGTGTATTCCTCCCTATTCGTCTTAGTCCTCTCAGTCACCCCTTTATCACTGCACCATTAGTTCAGTTCAATTAATCTGTAAATACTCGTGAAGGCAATCTTTAATCAGCCAATCAGCTGCCTGGCTCTCAGACAAACCCATTAGTTTTAGCCCAAAAAACATCAAAACATCTTCATTTTTAATTCAAATAAACACAGGCTCGTACACAGCGGCCTCATCTGTGTTAAATTCTCCTGACAGGAGTAATTGAGAATAATCTAGCAGCTCATCAGGTTTGATTCATATCATTCAAATACTGGCAGTGTCCCCGCGCCCCCCCCCCCCCCCCCCCCCCCCCCCCCCCCCGCCCCCCCCCCTCG